TTTTTAAATCTGAGATGTCTGAGATTTGCATCTGATTGCCCTCCAAATCAATAGTTATCAAAATCTTCATCACACTAAGTTTGTTTGGTACTATACCATTATCTACTCAACTAAGACAAGAATTATCTGGCAAAGCACTATGTCACCGAAGTATGCAACCCAGAATTTTACGAAAATGTATTTGATTTGGCAAACCCGCTAATGGTTGCGCATGTGGTTTAAGAGCTGTGGAGTTTTTTCTTGTAATAAATTGTAATGAAAGTGGAGTTTGCCAGTGAATAAAAAGAAATTGTTGTATTTTTTTTTTTTTTTTCCCAGAAATATCGCATTTTGCCTAGCGCAGGAATCCACATCCCTTGAAGCTGTATTTTACAAATGACTGAATTGTATGGAAATGTATTGTTAAAAATTGTCAGCAAAGTATTTGAATGTGACACATTTGGCCAACATGATTTATCTCCAATCGTACATTATTATAGAAATCTTGTAATTTGAAAGCAGTTTATAAACTGTTCTTAGGTGAGTGCGATATTTTTTTTTTCCCAAATAGTGAAATTTCCTAACGTTTATAAAGTTAGAAAAGGTTGATGTGTACATGGAGAGCAGTGCCAAGTTGCTCTGTGATGGCATGAATTCTGCAATTCTCTGATGTTGTTTGTAAGTTAAAACAGCTCAATATTTCACAGACAGCAGACAATGCTGAGAATTCTGCAGTTCTCGGATGTTTTTCAAGTTAAAACAGACTGAAAAAAACAGAAAGTATTTTATTATGGATATTTGTTGCATTTTTAACTTAGTTAATTTTTTACTGTTTTATTAAGTTTTGAGTGTTTTATTATGGATGTTTATGCTATGCAATTTTTACCATTTCATTATAGATGTTTCTGGTGTTTTTTATTTTAGTATTTCCCTAGCAGCTATGTGGCCATCTTTTGTCTGGCTTTTAAATGTACCAGAAAAATGCCTGAAGGGAACACCAAACATTAAATTTAAAAACTCTGCAGAACAACTTCATAAAAAAAATAAATAAATAAATAAAATATAAAAAAAATCTGAAAGGTTTTAGATTTTAAATTACGTCCAAAGGGGCATTTTTTAACATTTTGTCATGTTACTTTATTTATTAAAATCCATGTTCTTCGCACTTAAACCATAAAATTCAGCTTAAGATTGTTGCTTAATTAAGAGCAATATTGCAAAATAGTTTTAAATTGAGCATATCTTTAGAATTTCCGATACAGAGTCTCACACGCTGGATATAAAAATGTTTTTTCCATACAAAGTTGCCATTGCTCGCTTTGAAATCCTTGAGTATATTAATCAAAAATTCGTTAAAGTTTTACAAAATCTGCAAATTCCAAATTTCAAATTTGGGCTTCCACATGCCCATATTCGCAGTAAGATTACGTCATTCAAAATTCGATGGCTCTATGTACCATCGTTTTACCACAATGCGAGAAATATACATACGTTTATGTAGATTTTTCATCATTTAATTTCTTCAAATATAACGCAGGACTCTAACATTTGATGGCAACAGTTTAAAAATTGAAACAGACACATATAGTGAACCAACGCAAAATGAAACAATAGTCGTTCAGGGACAAATCCCCTTTGGACAAAAAAACCCACATTTTTTTTTTTTTTTTTTTAAATGCATTACATATAACAAAATTACAATGAAATAAGTAATATCCTTTAATACAAATACTAATTATCCTAATAGATAAATTAACCAACTTCCCTTTGCCTTCTCTCAACAAACGTCCAGTATCCAAAAGAAACATTAAATTTAAAAACTGCACAAAATTATCGCCCTCATTTTTCCAAGTGGCAACAGTGCTGATTTTCAACACTCAGCAGTCCAGTATACAATTGCACAAAAAACTGTTGCTCAAACCGCATTTCTAAAAGAATGAAATTAATCAAACTGATGCGATAAGAACAAAAAGATTTTTTTAAAAAATCCAATTTAAATTTTGAAAAAAATCTCTTTGAGGTGCGCTGGCTCTTATCTAGATGCAACTATATACCACATTTCGTAGCCTTGGGCCTATTAGCTTACGTGCAGCACAAGCAAAAGACACAGAGACTCTTCCTTTTATTATATGCAGAGATTACTGTTTTATATAATTTTCAGCATGCTGCCATGTTTTTAAAATGGCTCCTGTTTTTCGTGTGTTAGGCTGGTGAAAAATTAGTTTTTAACGATTGGCAATTCAGCGAGAAGACTGGGGGGGGGGGATTGTGCAAAAATACCGGTTACTTTTTAGCTTATTTTGAATGGTTGACCGAAATCGATACCAAGTTGTTTGGCAACCTTAAATCTTTTACTTAGTGACATTTCTCTGTCATTTGCCAATTTTATAATCTATTTCGATTTTTTTATGACTTTACAACAGTTTAAAAATGTATTTTATGATATTACAACAATATTATCTGAATTGTTGATAAAAATAAGCAATGTACTTTTTATGTGTTCATATACAAATTGGTGGGGCTTCGGTAATTTAATGGCAATATCCAAATTATACCATTAACCGTGATCATCTTAAGTGGCTTCTACTGTAGTTAAATTGAATATAAGAAATTTCAGCAAGCTTCTACAAATTTTCCCATCACGTTTTTAAAGCTGTTTAACCCGTTCAGGACCAGCGTCCTGTATACACGATGCAACGATTCTTTTCCTACCAGCCCAGTGTCGCGTATATGTAACTATAAAACAGAACGATTTATTTGAATTTTTAAAAGCCAGTAGATGGAGCTACATGGTAACAGTTTTCACATGGGTTGATTCATATAGCATTTTTGACCTTCATGTACTGGCATTAGTTTCTGTTTTGTGCTTGTGGTTTTCATAGATTTATTGGTATAAACAAACTGGGAATCACGGCTCTTCATAAGTGCACCTGTGAATTAAAGGGGCACAGACGTTTTTGTTTATTTCATTAGGAATTTATTTTCTTCCCCCCCTCCACGCTTTTTGTTCTTTGCTTTTTTTTTCGTTATTAGAATGTGGATAGGTGCATCCAGCTCCTTGTTTTTGTTTATGTTATTTGCATTTTTTGTTAGGAAAGTGCATTCAGCTGACTATAGCTGGTGTTACATCACCGAACAGCCAAGATGAAAAACTCAAGATCAGGTGTCCTTTTTTCCTATTTATTTTGAAATTTAACATAAGCTTTCTTGGTTAATTAAAAAGTAATATTACAAAATTATTATGGAAGGAGAAAAACCATCAGCTTTCTCGACGCATAATGCATCTTACTCGTTCGCATTTGTCAGGTAAGAACCAGCAGTTTTGTTTTTCTTACTCGATTTAATAGGTCACTATATAAAATGCTTTGAATGATCATTATATATAATGACCCAAGCATTATGTATTTACATATAATGCATATATTGACGTGATCAGTAACAGATATCCAGCCAATGGGGGGATCTTTCCTTGATCACTTTCTGGTCATCGTGGCGGACATTGTTTATCAATTTAGAAAAACAGGAAGTTTTGTAATATAAACCTGATGTTGCACAGGGTTCGAGGATGAAATATTTTTGGGTGTCTTTTGAAGAAGTTTTGAGACGTGTTGGGGTTATATTGTTTCATTCCGTTAGCCATGGCTAAGAGGCTTTACTTAAAAACTTAAAAATTTGTTCAAAATCACCGGACACTTCACCTTTCTATGTAACTGGAAGACATTTTCCGAAAATTTACTTTGACGGAAAAGGTAATAAAGGCAGCAGAATATGCGTTGTGCACGCTAAAACCAAGAAAAAGTGAAAGCAAACAACGTGTTTTGAGTGCAAAATATGTAATGTAGGACTGTGTATCAATCCTTGTTTTGAATTATTTCACACACAGCAGAATTTTTAAATTTAAATTTAATTACCTACAGGTAATTCTTGTTCAGTTTTTTTTTAAAATTTCATATTTGTAATTTTTTTCATATTTATAGTATTTATTTCTGTGTGTATAGTTAAGATTTTAGTATTTTGCCTGTTTAATTTATTGTATTAATGTGATATTCTTTATTAATACACATTAAAACAAGTACATTAAATACACAACTTCAAAAATTGAAGTCATAATATCAAAATGCTGATTTTATATGATTTTTTTCATAAAAGTAGGCTTAACTGCTGAAAATGCAAGGGCCGGTGCCGACGACCCATTTCAGCGGGTCCGGTTCCATGACTGCACTTCATTCTTCACGGTCCTTAAGGGGTTAAAGAAAGGAGGGAGGGGGGAAGGAAAAAAAAACTTAAAGGATTCACATTTTAATGTTGCACTAGAGGTTTGTTGAGATATTTTTTTACTATCATTGAGTTTACAGTTTATCTGTCTACTTTTAAGACTCACACTCCTGCTAACACTTTTTTTTTTTTTTGTCTTTTTAACTTTATTACTGAACATAACTTTCTTTGTACTTATGTTGCATAAAATTCAACAGCAAAATAATAAAATATTTTAAAAGCAATATATCTTTAGAATTCCTGATACAGTTTTACATGCTGTCATATAATTTTTAGTCCAGAAAGCCTATTATTTTCAAAATGTACATTTCTATCAAAATCCTTTTTGTTGTCTCTTTCACTTTTTCAATAAGTAGCTAAAGTCATCTAAAATGGTTGCTATAAAAATGGCAACAGGAAGTTTAAAATATTATCAGATATTTTTAGAATTCCTGATAAAGTATTAAATTTCATACTTTTTTTTACACTTGTTTTGTTATTATTATTATTATTATTATATAGTAACTTACAGTAATACTTGGTAGCTACGCTTGCAAAATGATGTGGATAAAAATAAGGTTTGGGACTATAGCACCTTAACAATAAAGTAATAAATAATAATTTCATTAAAAAAAACCCGTTTTGCGCAGATTTCTGTTAAAAGTTTTCCCATTAAATTAAACAATTTATCAAGTGAAGTTTCAGAACCATTAGATTATATTATAAAATTTATTTCAGAAATTTTAAACAATGGAAGAGATACTTACATTACTTTATCCAACCAAGATAAAAATTTATGAGTACTTGCAGTTGGAGCAAAACATGTTGCAGCTGTCTCTGGAGCACAATCAGCAGCCATGAAAATGACCAATGCATACATTGTACAATTTGCCTACAATACATTTATATTAATCCAAAGCATAACCCAGAATTATAATTCATTAAATACTCAGAGTGTACAGATGACTACTTAATGAATTTAAAATACATTGAAAAACACAGATTAGTTCAAGATAAATAGGAAATTTAATTCCCATAAATCTACAAAACAAATTTGTTATACATTACATCTACAAAATATTTTGCACAAATTTATTGACAAAATAAATTTTTGTAATAAAAAACATAATCATTTAAAATAATTTGCTTTATGCAATAAACCAGCACTGCCTTACATATACTAAGTTTATGTACCTTTTCTGACAAAAACAATATAAAACTTTAATTCCCCACTGATTGTAAATGATATTTATCAGCACTTTCCCATTTGCATAACAGAAGTTATCACCAGCACAAATGCTGATTAAAATGTAACCTGAATGATAATGATGATACAAATAAATAAAATAATTATTTTGTTGCACCCAATTAAATAGTTAGTAAATAATTGAGACAGGACACTTGGAGGGTAACAAAAACGGAAATGTCCTTTTTCTAATATGAAAGCATATAAAACTAAGAATTGAAAAAGATAGAGCTAAATTAACAATTTTGTAATTTTTCAAACCTCCTTTTATTTACAGCCTCAAGCTTTCAAATTGGAGATTAAAATTTTTCTAATAAAAATGAACTGAAAAAAATGATGAAAACAAATTCTGTATTTAAAAAAAAAATTAATAAACTGAACAAGGACACTTTGAGGAAGATCCAGATTTTAAAACAAAAGTTTTAAAAAATGCCCATAAAAATTTTATTTATTTAAGAAAATGAATAAAAATGATGAATGCAAAAAGATGCGAAAAAATTATTAAAAAAATTAAATAAAAACGGAGGACAAAATTATTAAATGGATGAAGCTAAAAATATTTTTAAAAATTTAAATACTGCAAAATATATTTTTATTATGTTAAAGAAATCCAGAACTTTGAAGAAGATTAAAAAGATTTTTTTTCATCAGCCCAGAAATTAAAGCTTTCACAAAATTTTTGTTCTCTTTCCTCTTGGGATCTAAATCTTCTAATTGTACAAAAGTTATTCATTGCAAAGAATGGTATCCTTTTGTAACAAGTCCTTTTTTAACTTTTTATTGGTTGTAAAATTTTGGACATCTTCTCTTTGAACAACTTGTTCAAAACTTTTCTTTTGGGTTAAGAGGTCTGGCATCGCTAGCAGTAAATCCAAATTAAATTTCTTTTCATTATAATGTATAAAAATGCGCAGATAATAAGAATTATAAATCAATATAAATGTAGAGAAGTATAAAAGGTCATCAACTTCTTTGTCAGGATCGTTAGTGTCCGAGTATCCACTCCCTGATTAAAAAAGGTTTTTGTTGAAGTACTGCAATAGGTAAAATCAGGTTTGTTATTAGGGAGAAAATATGTAGCAATAAATTTAAAGTGGATGTTGAGTGTTCTTTTAACAGATGTAAGATATGAAAGCTCATTGAAACACCTTGAATGTTGCATACTACTTTCAAAAAAATGTGTTTGAAGATAGAAAATATATCATGTCATTTCCAAATGCAGAACATGAATATTTTTCGGCTTATCTTTTTCATTTCCTGTAAGCAGTAAACAAGAGTTAAACAGTCTAAAGTCTAATTGGAATACTGAAACGAAATATTGGCATGTAACTTGAGATTTTGGAGAAAGATGCACAAAGTTTATTTATTTATTTTAATTACGAATAACAGTACTTCGCACAAAGGAAATAATTCTCTTGTGAAAGATAGTGACACCCCTTGAATGCTTTTCTTTTCCTTTTTTTGATTATCCAAGTTGACCTCATTCAACCCTTATTGCTTTCCTTAAATATAAAATTCATACTCGTCATTTTTTATTAAAAAAATCAAATTTTTATATCTTGTCCTCATCATTTTTAACCGGATTTTTTATCATTATGTTCTTTGAAATACTGAAAGTCATCAAAAATTCATTTTTATGCATGTACTTATTTTTAATCTCCTTCAAAGTATCCTAGGTTGAAAATTTTAATCTTTAATATTAAAGTTTGAACCCGTAAATAAAAGGAGCTTTGGAAAATTATTAAAATTGATACTTTATATACAACTCCAATTATCCAAAATCTGGCTATCCAAATCACTTTCAGAATTTAAGAAAAAAAAAAAAGAGAGCGAAGAGACAGGAAAAGACGAGGATGACGTCTCACTTGACGAATTAAGAAACACTCTTTTGAAAATTCCTGAATGTTCAGAAGTTAGTGTTGAGGATACAGCAGGACAGATGGTGTGTGTTTCGTCAGACCCTCGGTTTCAAATTCTAAATGATGATAAACTTATTGAAAGTGTGAGAGAAGAAAGTGTTGAGAAAGAAAGTGACCCTGAAGTCAAAGTTGAAGCAGGCATTGGACCATCAGCTAGTGAAGCGTTTGCTTTCCTTGAAACTGTGTTGAAGTGGATGGAGCGTCAGCCCGAGTGTGACCACATGCAACTTCTCAATGTCAAGTGGATGCGCGACTTGGTTCCCGAAAACGAATGAAGACAGTCAAACAGCTTACTCTGACCGAGATGTTCAGCAAGCAATGACTTTCAGCATTTGTAAGTACTGTACACTACGTATATAATATGTACATAAAAGTGTTGCCTTTTCATTTTAATTAAAACCTCTTTTTCTTAAAAATAGTTTTTTCACCTCATATTTTCAATATACAGTACTCAGAGTAATTCATTAAAGTGTACGTAAACCTTTTCTTTTGAAAAAATTTAATTATCTGAATTTTTGATATCCGAATGGAATACAGTTCCAATTGATTTGGATAATTGGAGTTCTACTGTATTTCCTTTTAATTCTTTATTTGTTTTATATGCTTTCATATTAGAAAAATTAAATTTCCTTTTTACTACCCTCTAATTTTCCTAGCTTGATTATTTGTTAACTACTCACATAAAGATTAATATTTCTATTCGTAACATTTTTCTCAATCTTGGTCATAAAAACTTTAGCAATAAGGAACAGCAACAAGAAAAGATTTTGTTTTTTCATAAAATCTATATGAATCCCACTGTGGTGAAAGAACATGCCCATTTTGTTCCCACTTTCACAGGCAGAAACTTTAATCTAAAGATTTTGTTGCTTCTGCTAAGTTTATGTCATATATTAGCATGTACCCCCTTAACATTGGTTTTCTAGTCCAAACTTGAAATGCAATTTGTTTGGAATGTATGAGGTAAAATCCCCGGATATTTCAAACAACCTCTTGGCACCACAAATAAATGAACAGAATAGCTTCAACAATAGGGAGATGCGATTCATCAAACTATATTTGGATTCACAATCATTTTTCACAAAATGACTGTCATTTTGTTGAACAATAATCACAGCTGAAAAAATGCAAATAACACATAGATTTTTTGGGGGGTGCCTCATAAAAATCTTTTTTCTTATTAGTTATGAACAGAACAGTACATCTAAATTGTAAAAACAACATTTTTTTGCTCAATTCACAGTCATAAAAAAAAAATTGGCAATTTTTCACAAAAGTTTGGATATTCTGAAACTAATCTAATTTCATAATTATAAGACTGAATGAAATGTACAATACAAGAAATTAAATTACATTTTAAACACCAAAAGCATAATGTTAAAAAAATTAACAGAAAATTTTCCAGGAATTTATTGAAATAATCCCAAAATTTCATTAGAATTTTTTTTATATAACTTTCCATAAATGGATCCTCCTTTTTGAATAATAGTGATCCTGAAAGACCTTTTCCTGTGACTTTTTTCTTTCTATGCTTGCATTTTTTCTTTTTTTGAAAATAGATACGTTTTTTGGATTTCTCATGACTAAGGCATCAAGTGAGTGCAAAAGTTTCAGTCATTTCTGGAGATTTCAAGTTACTAATGGATGTGGCATCACAGATGATGCAATAAAGGTTCAAATTTTCAACCAATGAGACAGACAGCATATAAAGAAAACATAGTTGTAAATTACTTGTTAAAAAATTTCAAATGGTTTAAAATGGCCAAGAATTCAGAACATATCAAACACTGTTTGGTGTACGAGTTTGAGGGGCAGTACTGCAGCCCTAGCAAGCCTAAACATTTTAGACTGCATCTGATAAGATTACTGGTTTCGGAAATTCAGGGAAGGAAACAAAAGCTGCAAAGATCACAATTCAAATATTCATGACTGGTTTTTGAGATATTCGAATCAAGGCATATAAGAATGCTCTAAAGAATTGCTAAAACATTAACCGTATGTAGAACAACAGTTGAAAGATAAATCCATATACGTGGTTTTATCACTAAGCTGGATCACTGGATTCCACATCATCTCTCAAAAGCAATGACAGGCAAGAATCAATGCCTGTCTTACTTTGTTTCCTTGTTTTAAAAGCATTTTTAAAATGAATGTTGATTGAGTACTCTACTGCAAAATTTGAAGGACTATATGCTGCACTGCATAGCATGCTCTACACACTCAAAAAAAAAAAAAAAAAAAAAAAAAAAAAAAAAAAAATTAAGTGTATGGTGGGGGCATGAAAGGAATAATCTACTGGGATTTGCTCCCATAACAACTGAACCATTAATGCTGACAAGTATTGCCCACAGTTGAATAATTTGAGGCAAAAATTTACATGTAAGCAGGCAGCATTCTCAATAATGCCAGACCTCAAGCTATTTTACTTACTTGAAAAAAGCTATTCAACTGTGGTTGTGAAGTTTAACCACTTAAGATCTCGCCTTGGGAACAAACAGTGTTCGGATAATATACCCTTGAGCAACCACCTTTTCCAATCATTACAGATTCCTTGGCATTTCAAATCTTTGATTATGTGGAAGGTGTGAGAACTGCATTAAGAGACATTAGTTTTTTTTTTTTTTAAATTTTTAAACCAGATGGTTTTTATCAATGATGAATTAATCTACTACAAGGCAGATGGCAAAAGGTCACACAAAATGATGACACACAAATACTCAGGTACTC